TGTGTGTGTGTGTGTGTGTCTGTGTGTCTGTCTGTGTGTCTGTGTGTCTGTCTGTGTGTGTGTGTGTCTGTCTGTCTCTCTGTGTGTCTCTGTGTGTGTGTGTGTGTGTGTGTGTGTCTGTGTGTGTGTGTGTGTCTGTCTGTCTGTCTGTGTGTCTGTGTGTGTGTGTGTGTCTGTGTGTGTGTGTCTGTCTGTCTCTCTGTGTGTTTGTGTGCATGTCGAACTGATGATCATGTTCACGTGATGTTTGAAGCAGATTTCACATGTTCAGACATCAGTGACATCACTGCAGGATGGCGACTAGTACTCTGATTACTTTATTGTAATAACAGTACTCTAGTACTTTTACTACTCTGTGTTTAAAGAGACTGATCAGCTGATCTGAGGTCAGGTCAGATCTGTGACAGATACCCTCCATGTTGTCCTGAGGGTCAGTGAACGCATCCACAGTGTCTGTGATGTCACGCTGCCACCTGCTGGTCACTGAGAGACAAACAGCTCTGAGTTCTTCTTCTACTAATAATAATAATGATCCTCCTCATGATGCCTCCTGTGAGCAGACGAGGAGGTGGAGGCCGAGGACCTGAACCCGTTCTCCTTCAGAGAGTTTCTACGCTGGAAGAACCAGAACCAGAACCAGGACCCAGAACAGGACCAGGACCAGGAGGGACACAGTAAGGTACAACAGCTGCACTCTGAAACCACAGAAGAAGAACCAGCGATTATTATTACTGTTATCATCCTTCTTCTTCTTCTTCTTGTTAAAGACTCCATCTGTCTCTGTGTCTCTCTCAGAGGTCGTTTGACGTCGGGAGCGTGACCTTTGACCCTGAGGTCAGGAGCTGTTTTTTCTCTGAGCCCTCTCTGGCACCACAGGTACAGTGACATCATCACTGACATCACAGTGTACCCTCGTCTGGGAGGGAGGTCTCGCCCCTCCAGGATTATCAGGATGCACTGAGATAAAATGGAGGACAGTGAATATGGAGAGAACAACTAATGTGTGTGTGTGTGTGTGTGTGTGTGTGTGTCCAATCAGGAGGAGGAGGAGTGGGGGCGGAGCTTCCAGTCAGGTGTAGACAGCACCTCCTCCCTCTACACAGAGGAGGAGGAAGACGACGAGGAGGAGACCAGGTGAGTCATGCTGTTCACTGATTGGTTGATTGCTGTCACATTAGAGGCGGAGCTTAATGGTTGTAATGTTGTTGGGATCACATCATGTGTCACATTTCTGAATGAAAACAGGTTCTCCTCCAAACTTGAGATCCAGCAGGGAGGAGCAGGAGCAGGAGAAGGAGGAGGAGGAGGAGGAGGAGAGAACTATGAAGGAGATGATGAGACCTCCATAGCTGAACCAGTCACCTCCTGCAGGAAGAGGAGTGGGCGGAGCAGTCAGATACAGCAGGTACGTGTCAGAGCAGTCAGACTGTGAGGATGAGGCGTTCAGGGTCTGCTGCTGTTTGTTTTTGTTTCTTTGTTTCCAGCGTGCTCCTGAATGCACCACAGGACCGCCACCTGTCTGTATGCTGATGTTTCCTCCTCGTCTCAGGTCGTGTCACAGTCGTAGTGTCATGTGATTCACTGTTACAGGAGCTGAACGTGTTTACTGAGTGATGCTAACACAGATACAGAAACACAAACGTGTCATTGGCTGCTGGATTGTACGACAGCCTCCCCGCGGCCATGTCTGTCTGTGGTTACTAATTAAGAGCTGCTGAATTAAAATCACCTGAAGTCACTGTCTTCTTAGACTAATTGACCCTTTGCTAAGTCCCGCCCCTCTGACACAAACTGGCCAATCATAGCGCAGCATTGGCCGGCTGGAACAAGGCTGTCTTCTCTTCTGTTGTCTTCTCTTTGAAATCACTTCACCTTTTTAGAAAACTTTAATGTTCCTTCTGGAAGTGACATCATGGGCTCAATGCTGACATCACAAAGAGGTGGAGCTTAGCAAAGGGTCAATACACCCAACAGTACAGTGGTAATCAGTGTGTATAGTGTAGAAGGAACGGATGTCCACACTTATCTGCCTCCTGACCTCCTGACCTCCCCTCTGACCTTGCGACTAATGACCAACCTACCCTTCGACCTACCTACCAACCTCCTGATCAATCAGCCTACTTACCAAACTTCTGAGCTGCCTACCTATGTACCTTCTTATCTGCCAACCTACCCACCTACTGAACTGAAGAACTACCTACCTACTGATCAATATACCAAACAACCTACTTACCTACCTATCCTGCAACCTATCTAGTGACCTTCCTACCTTCTGACCTACCAAACTACCTACCGACTGATCAACCTACTTACTGACCAACCAAGCTATCTACCAAACTGCTAATTCTACTTCTAACTGCCTGCCTATCTACCGTCTGACCTATGTACCAATCTATCTACCTACTGAATTAAAGAACTACCTATGTAGCTACCAAACTCTCTAACTACCCACTGAACTACCTACCCACCAACCTATATACTGACCAACCTATCAACCTAATGATCTTCCAACCTACCTAGCGAACTAAATACTGATCAACCAATCTACCTACCAAACTGGCGAACTGCCTACCTACCTTTTAATCTATCCAACAACCTATCCACCTACTGAACTACTTACCTACCCATCAACCTACCTACCAAACTACCTACCTAACGATCAGCCTACTAACTTACCGACTAACCAAGTTATCTAGCTATCTACCAAACTGCCGACCTACCCACCTACCTACCTACCTACCCACCTACCTATCTACCTACCTACCTATCTACCCACCTACCAACCCATCTACCTACCTACCCACCTACCTATCTACCCACCTACCCACCTACCAACCCACCTACCTATCTACCTACCTACCCACCTACCTACCTACCTACCAACCCACCTACCTACCTACTCACCTACCTATCTACCTACCTACTCACCTACCTACCTACCTACCTACCTACCTACCAACCCACCTACCTACCTACCTACCAACCCACCTACCTATCTACCTACCTACCCACCTACCAACCCACCTACCTATCTACCTACCTACCCACCTACCTACCTACCTACCTACCTACCTACCTACCTACCTACCTACCTACCTACCTACCTACCTACCTACCTACCTACCTACCTACCTACCTACCTACCTACCTACCTACCTACCTACCTACCTACCTACCTACCTACCTACCTACCTACCTACCTACCTACCTACCTACCTACCTACCTACCTACCTACCTACCTACCTACCTACCTACCTACCTACCTACCTACCTACCTACCTACCTACCTACCTACCTACCTACCTACCTACCTACCTACCTACCTACCTACCTACCTACCTACCTACCTACCTACCTACCTACCTACCTACCTACCTACCTATCTACCCACCTACCTACCTACCTACCTACCCACCTACCTACCTACCAACCCACCTACCTATCTACCTACCTACCTACCCACCTACCTACCCACCTATCTACCTACCAACCCACCTACCTATCTACCTACCTACCTACCTACCTTCTGAACAATGTACTGATCTACCTGTCTACCGAACCAAAAAACACCTATGTACTTTTTGACCTATCGGCTTACGTACCTACCTACCCACCTACCTATCTACCCACCTATCTACCTACTCACTTACCTATCTACCTACCTACCCACCCACCTACCCACCTACCAACCCACCTACCTATCTACCTACCCACCTATCTACCTACCTACCTACCTACCTACCTACCTACCTATCTACCCACCTATCTACCTACCTACCTACCCACCTACCCACCTACCAACCCACCTACCTATCTACCTACCTACCTACCCACCTACCTACCCACCTATCTACCTACCAACCCACCTACCTATCTACCTACCTACCTACCTACCTACCTACCTACCTTCTGAACAATGTACTGATCTACCTGTCTACCGAACCAAAAAACACCTATGTACTTTTTGACCTATCGGCTTACGTACCTACATGCCCACTGACCGACCGACTGACGGATGGACCTACCTGTCTGTCTGTATTCTATTTTCTTTGCTTGTTTTGGTTTTGTTGTGTCACATGAAGATTTTCCAGAACGACACTACGTTAGAAAAAGTGAAGATGATGGAGACCTGTTGATTATTAAACACTCTGACGTTTATTTCTTTATTTATAAGAACAACAAAGATGAATCACATCGTTAACATGTCTGTAAATGCATCAGTGTGTAGTTCAGGGAACCTGGGAAAAAACACAAAGTCAGGAATAAGCCACTTCGTGTTTTTACCCTCCAAACTAAACTAACGGTGTTTGGTTCCAGCTGAAGGAGGAGAACATGACTCTGAGGAGATCCATCAGGGAGCTGCAGAGGAGATCAGAGCTTAACGAACGAAGGTGAGCACCAGCCAATCAAACCAAAGCACCAATCAGAGACGCTGTCAGTGCCAGAGTGTTTACCCATCATGCCTCTGTCCTCCCTATCAGGGTGGCAGAGCTGTCGGATGAGCTGCTCCAGAGGACACATCAGGAGGAGAAGGAGGCTCAGGATCTGGAGAGCATGGTTCACTCTGTGGAGCAGAACCTGCACCTGATGACGGTAAGCAGCACTCACCTGACACCTGAGCAACTGTTACATGCTGTTTAACTGATTTACTGTTGTATCTTTGACTCTGTCTTTCTGTCTCACCATCCTCTGTCTTACAGAAGCGAGCAGTGAAAGCAGAGACCTGTGTGAACAAACTGAAGTTGGAGTTGCAGCAACTGCAGGTGAGACAGGCATTTTGTATGAACTTAATTTAATCTGACTGAACTCCATAGAGAGCAGATATAAATATCACAGCATACTATGAAAAAAACGTCATAGTATAGCATGTCGTCCAAAATCATGAAAAAACGTCATAGTATGGCATGCAGTGTTAATTTTGTCAACTAAAACTTAAACAAAAACTTGTCGTTGATGACCCTTTATTCCGTGACGAGAACGTAAATTTAATAAGTACTGACAACAAAAACTAAAATGAAATCTCTGTTCATTATGAACTGACGAGTAAAAACGTGATGAAAAAGCTGACGCTGGCCAGCCGGACAATCTGGATTACAACCATCCTCAATGCCTTGATTGTTTTCCTTTTTAACCAATTAATTATCTTAACTCAAATTCAAACTCTCAGTCTATCTTTCTGATTGAATGACCTCCCCCCGCCCTCCGCACGGTGGCGGTGCACGTCCAGTTTTGCCACACAGACGCCTTGGCTCCACAGCGGGAAGCCGGCGACTGCGACTTGTCAAGTGGGAAGAAAAAGAAGAGAAGATTTATGGACACACTTCTATTACCTTCCAGCCGAACAAAAGACTGAATGTATCATTCCCAACGAGGATGGAGAGCCTTGTGGATTCAAGTTTAGTGGAAAAAACACAACAAATTTAAAAACCCTTGTAAGAAAATACTAAATTAAAATAGGCATAACAGTTAAGCTGTTATGATCTTCTTTTGATGTCTTAAGAGGATTGGAGTTGTATTCTTGCAGGTTGTGAGTACAAATATACAGAAAATAAACAAGAACCTGTGAAGGACATGATTATGTATTGCACTATTTCTAACAAGCCTTAGACATTCATTTTTATTATACAAGAGTAATATGGTACATTCTTAGTTTAAATGACTAAACACACAGTTAAAGGTATGCTTACAATGGAGTTTTTACTACCATGACAAACATCGTGGTAGTAAAAAAAAAAACTCAGCATAACAAAACTGTCAAATTACGTCAAAAGACTAAAATGAGACTAAAACTAAAACTGATTTCCACTGACTAAATTTTAACTAAAACAAAATTAAAAGACTAAAATGTGACTTTAACTAAATCCAGTCTTTGGTGAGTGACTTAGACTAAAATGAAATTAAAAATTCTTGTGAAAATTCTTGTAAAAAGTAGCATGTCGTCCAAAACCATGAAAAAACGTCATAGTATAGTATGTCGTCCAAAATCATGAAAAAACGTCATAGTATAGTATGTCGTCCAAAATCATGAAAAAACATCATAGTATAGCATGTCGTCCGAAATCACGAAAAAATGTCATAGTATAGCATGTCGTCCAAAATCACGAAAAAACGTCATAGTATAGCATGTCGTCCAAAATCACGAAAAAACGTCATAGTATAGCATGTCGTCCGAAATCACGCAAAAACGTCATAGTATAGCATGTCATCCGAAATCATGCAAAAACGTCATAGTATAGCATGTCGTCCGAAGTCACGCAAAAACGTCATAGTATAGCATGTCGTCCGAAGTCACGCAAAAACGTCATAGTATAGCATGTCATCCAGAATCACGAAAAAACATCATAGTATAGCATGTCATCCGAAATCATGAAAAAACGTCATAGTATAGTATGTCGTCCAAAATCATGAAAAAACATCATAGTATAGCATGTCGTCCGAAATCAAGAAAAAAAGTCATAGTATAGCATGTCGTCCAAAATCACGAAAAAACGTCATAGTATAGCATGTCGTCCGAAATCACGCAAAAACGTCATAGTATAGCGTGTCATCCAGAATCACGAAAAAACATCATAGTATAACATGTCGTCCAAAATCCAACAAAAACGTCATAGTATAGCATGTCGTCTAAAATCCAACAAAAACGTCATAGTATACCATGTCGTCCAAAATCCAACAAAAACGTGGTAATAAAGCATGTCGTGAAATGTCACACATTAATATTAATATTTGTTGTGTGTGTTTCAGGCGGAGGTTGACTCCTTGCGGTCTGAGAATGTCAGTCTGAAGGCAGCAGAGTCTGAGGTTGTCATGACGATGAGGCACAACGCTCAGGTGGCATCTGAGTATCTGAACAAGACAGCAAGCCACGCCCACTCCTCCATCCGGTCAGTACCTGTCAACAGTAGGGGCACGTTTACTATGAAAACAGGTCCTGTGATACGTTTCCTGTTGTTTGGTGGGTGTGTCAGAGGTCTTAGCCAATCAGCTGTGAGCTGCAGATTCTAGTTGATGTTTGATCGTCGAGGGTCATAAGGACAGAGTGATGTCGTATGCTGTAAAGCCCTGTGAGGCAAATTGTGATTTGTGATATTGGGCTTTATAAATACAATTGATTGATTGATAATATTCATGAAGAAGAGTGAAGACAGCTGTAACCTGTCTGTCTGTCTTTCTGTCTGTCTGTCTTCAGTCAGCTGATGGGGGAAGCAGAGACTCTCGTTCTGGTCTCTCAGCTGCTGCAGTCCATTGACAAGATCTCCACCCTCGACTCAGAGTCCTGAACTCCTCCAGACCCTCAGACCTCTTTTGGACCTCCTACAGACACTCGTCTCTGATGGACAGGAGGACGTGGTTTCCATGGAAACATTCCTGAACGTACAAACTGTGAGGTCAGAGGTCAGCGGGTCTCAGTCGGTCCGTCATGTTTCCTCACAGACACTTTATTTTGAAAGTGAATATATGAACTTTTGATGACATCACAGCAGCTGCAGGACTTCTGGCTGCTGATTGGTTGGATTGTTTGAATTTACAGTGTCATTGAATATGAAGTTTCAAACAGCTTCAATTCTTGTTATTGATCATTTATGAAGTCTGCTCATTAAATAAACTCATTCATTATATAATATCTGTGTATTTACATTCAGAGAAATGACTGAGACATTCAGTTGATTTTATTTTGGGACTGTGGACAATATAAAACATGAATGTATGTACCTGAGTTAGTTTTAAGCTAATGCTAAAACATGAAATGAAACATCTGAAAATGTGACACAGTTGACATACTAACATGTTTTATAATAACAGAAAGTGACACACGTGTTCTGATGTTTATTGAACTTCAATTTTATTTGTGCCAATTAAAGTTCACAAAGAGGAAGAGATTGTTCTGTTTTTGTTTCTTTTGAATAAATAAAATGATATACATCTGTTGATTTGCTGTAAAAAAAAAAGATTCAGTTTGTTCTTTGTATAGACTGCTATGACCGTTATTTACATACTATACTATGACCTTTTTAACATACTATACTATGACATTTTTTCATATACTGTACTACGACCGTTTTTACATACAACACTGACTTGTTTTTTTTACACACTATGAGCTTTTTTTACATTCTGTACTATGACCTTGTTTACATATTACACAATGAGCTTTTTTTACATTCTGTACTATGACCTTGTTTACATATTACACAATGAGCTTTTTCCCATACTATACTACAACCTTTTTTCCCCATAATATACTGACTTTTTGTTACATACTATACTATGACCCTTGTCTTGCACACTACACTGTAACATTTTTACATACATTACTATGACCTTGTGTTATATCCTACACTATGACATCAAAAATGACAAAAAAGTTAGTATAGCATGTCATCCAAAATCACTAAAGACGTCATAGTATAGCATGCTGTCCAAAAAACAAGAAAAGAAAGTCATAGTACAGCATGTTGTCCAAAATCATGAAACGTCATAATAAAGTTTTTTTGTCCAAAATCATGAAAAAAC